TTTTTTTTTTTTGCAACTTAATAAATTTATGATATACAAATTTTATATTTATTTATTAAATTTTTTTTCATAAAACAGTTATAAAAATAATATACTACTATTATATTTAATGACAATTGTAAATTTAATATTTCAATATTTTAATTAAAAGTATTTTGAAAATATTTAAAATACATAAACGTAAATATTTTAAAATATCCATTAAATAATTAAATTGTACGTTATTAGCTTATTTATGTATAATATCTAAATGTACTAATGAATTTATAAATATATAAAAAAATTTTATAAATGAATTAATGTGTATAAATTTATCATATATATCAGCCTTTAGATAAGAATAAAAGAAAAAATAGAAGAGATATATAATATCTTTTTTTTTAATGTTTTAGTACACTTAAAAAAAAAAAATTAAATAAATAAAAATACTATATATTTCCTTATATATTTAAAAAAGGTAAATGAAATGTGTAAATGTTGGAAATAAAATTATTATAATAAAAATTAATGACTAATAAGAATATATTTTTACAATACAAAATTTAGTATAACTTTCAGACGTATTTAAAATGAAATATATTTAGCCATTTTGTTAAATTTAAAATCATATTTACAAAAAAAAAAAAATAAATAAATAAATAAATAAATAATATTAAGTATAAATTCATTTCAATTAAAACTATCTTCTTTTTTTTTTTTTTTTTTTAATCTGTATATTATTTAAGATATAAAGGATTTCCAAAATTAATTAAATATGCAAATATAAAATTATTAAAAAAAAGATTCACATTTTTCCATAAATATTATGTATATATAAGTAGCACTAAAAATATGTTAATATTTGTATTTGAATGACATTTTTTTTAATAAAACAAAATAGTATGGAGAACAACTTTCTTATAATTTTTTGAATCTCTTGAAAATTCTTAACTTATATTTTTTCTATTTCTTCATTTATTTTCATATTATCATCAAGTGAGTAATATATATCTTCTTTTTTCAATTTTAAACTAGAAGGTATAATTTGCTCTTCTGTAGTAAAAGATTTAACAAAAAATTTTTTTTCCAATTTGCAATGTATTGGTTTAATATTTTGATCAGTACTTTCAATTAAATAATTAACTTCATTATCTTCCTCTAATATATATGGTTTTTGATTAACAAAAAAAATAAATTTTCCATCTTCATATTCTACAATAAAAGAATTCGTTTCTAAATATTTTAAATTGTTACATAAATCCTTCATATTTTCATTAGATTCATTACTTGATATGCTCATTATATCACTATTTTCAATTTCATATTTTTCATATAAATCTTCTAAATTAGTTAGATCAGACATATTTTCGTTAAAATTAGATTCTTCATCTGTTGAATATTCTTTTTTAATTTTATCTAATTTATTTGATTTAGTAGAAAAGGAGTTTAAATTTTCTTCCTTATCTTTAACTTCGTCTGATTTATTTGGGTCTTTTTCATCATTTTCATTAAACAATTTATTTTCATCTTCTTTCTTACATGAATATTCTAATTCATTATTTACAAAAATTTTTTTTTCATTTACATTAATCTTGTCAATATATTCTTCATTATTATCATTTTTTATATTAATATCATCACCAAAAAATAATTTATCTTCATTTTCTTTATCTGTTTTATTATTTTCAATTTTTTTTTTATTATACATTTCTTCATCAAATGACCAAGATATTATAGAACTTTTATTTTTGTTTAAAGATTCAATTTCACCTTCTTCTTGTTCACATTCTATATAACTTTTTTTTTTTTTTATTATTTCTGAGTTTACATCTATGAATTTTGGTAATTTCAGTGAATAATATATTTCATCTAAATTCGTAGTTTTTCTTTTTTTATAATTCATAATAATTGTTGATTCCATTTCATTATTCAAATTTACTTCAATTGATTTCATTTCTTCTTTAATTTGTTCATTTTTGTTATTTTTAATTTCATATTCTTTTTCTTTTTTAGATTCAATAGAAATATCATCATCAAAAAACGATGATTTCGTATTAACTTCACAATTTTCTTCCTAAAAAAATATAAAAAATTAATATGTTTTAAACTATTAGCAAATATTATATATATGAATATTAACTTATTATACATAATTTTTTCTTTTTAAAACAAAAAAAAAAAAAAAAATTAATTTCTTATAAAAATATATGTATATGTAATTTTAATTTCACTTTTTTACCATTATATTTATATAGATTTTATGTTCTTCCTTGTTTTTTTTTTTTTTATTATCTTATATACATTTCTGTAGTTTTATAAAAAAGATAAATATTAAAAATTAAATTATTTTTACATATATGATTTCTTCATTAGAATATTTCTTTTATAGATGTAAAAAAATTAAAACAAAAAAAAAAAAATTTTTTTTTTTTTTTTAATAATACCGTGTATTTATTTTTTTAATTTTAGTTTAGATTTTTTTCTTTTTCTTTTTTTTTTGTAAAATATTTGTTTAAAAAAAAAAAAAAAATTTTGAAAATTTTTTAATATTAAAATAGGATGTACATATGTATATACAATTGGATTAAAAAAAATTTAAGGTTCATAATACTTCATTATATATTACGATATTTTTCTATTAAAGAAAAACTAAATTAAAACATATAAAAAAAGAAAAAAAAAATAAATTTTAAATATTTGAACAACGAGATTAATATACGGAAAAAGACTATTAAATATTAAAAAGCTTAATAAATATATAATTAATTAATAAAACCTTAAGTGAATATCTTAATAATAATATAAAGAAGATATTATGCATATTACTAGTTACAATAATATTTATAAATAATAAAATTTTTCTTTGAATAAATATTTAAAAAAATAAATGTATAATAATTATGTTATAACATTTTTAAATAAACAGGTTTAAATGTATTATAAATTATTTTCCTTTTTTGATTCTTTTATTATACAATAATGTTATCTAACAAAAAAAAAGAAAAAAAAGCGAATCCATTAATTTGTCATAGAAGGTTTAAAAAAAATAATAATAATAAAGAAATAAAGATAATTTTTTATTTTTAATGATGTTATAAATGCTTAAAATAATATGTAATATATTTAATTAATTTTATAAAATTGTTAGTCGCATTAATGTGTATCTGATTTTTTTTTTTTTTTTATAATTGAAATAAGAAATAACATCATTATATATATATATATATATATATGTTACACTTTTGTATTGCTATAATTAATATTTTTATATTTTATTTTTAATTTTTTTTTTATAAATAATTATGAATATTATATTTCAGATTAGGAATTTATAAGAAAAAAATATACGAAAATAATAAACAATTAATTTATGTTTCATTATCTGGGCATATTTACACCAATGTTAGCAAAAATATATATACATAAATTAAAAACATAATTTCCAACAAACAAATTTGTTTAATTTTCTTTTTCCTTTTTAATTAGAATACATATAAGGAAATAGTTAAATTTGATAATAATATTCTTAACGAATTGAATATATCAAGTAAAATGTATATATATGGAAACCAATAAAGAAAAAAAAAAAATCAAAGAATTATTTTTTTTTTTTTTTTTTTTTCTTTACTTAATTTTTAATAGAGACAGGAAATAATTCTTCAATAAATAATGTAAAATTATTTTATAACAAATTAAATGAGTCTAAAATTAATGGAGATATTTCTAATTGTGAAGAAAAAAAATTCGAGTATTATTTTATACCCGATTCAATCATAAAGTATATTTTTGATACACTTTTAAATATATGTAAACAATACATATATATAAATATATATATATATATATTTTTTTTTAGAGAATATAATAATATAGGAATATATGAACTATATAAAGATCAAATTGAATGTTTAAAAAATATATTTCATAATGAAGAAATTGAAAATAACTTGAAAAATAAAAATGATGAAGAATTTTTTGTCCATAGAAAAAAAGAAAATGTAAATTTTTTATTAGATTCTGATTTTTTTCTACCTATAGAGAAATCTGAAATAAAAGATATAAAATGTCTATATTATAAAGATAATAAAATAAATGAAAGTATTAGGGATAAAGAGAATGAATATAAAAATTATACTTGTAATAATAATATCTTTTATAAAAATTTTATATTTAATATAACAACAGGTATGGGAAAAACAGTTATTTATGATATTTTAATTATTAGATTTATTTTGTATAAAGGATATAGAGTAGTATTATCATTGCCAACAATGTCTTTAATTAATGAAAAAAGTGATTATTATGAGAAACTACTTGGAAATAATACAGTATCATTAAATATAAAAAAATTTAATAGTTTAAATTTTACTGGATATTCATATAATATGTCAACAGATATTGCCTTATGTACATATGAACAAGCTAATATTATAGTTAATATAATTATTAAGAATAATTTAAAATGTAATTATATATTTATTATTGATGAAATCCATTATATAAATGATATACATAGAGGATTTTTTATTGAATCATTATTAACCAAAATTAAATTTATTCAAAAAAATTATGAACATCTTTTTTATATAAGAACTTATAGTTTTTCAGCAACATTATCAAACATTGATCAAGTATATTATTATCATCTTTTTTTATACATATTTTAATTATTTTTATAATAATTCTCATATATATAAAATAAGATCATTTTATTTAACATTTTTTATTTTAACACAATTTATATAATATATATAATTTATATAATATATATAATTTATATAATATATATAATTTATATAATATATATAATTTATATATATATATATATATATTTTTTTTTTTTTTTTTTTTTTTTTTTTTTTAATAGTTGGGAGAATGGTTAAATGCTAAAGTATATGTAAGTAAGGAGAAATTATATAATATAAAATATCTATATAAAATTAAAAATATAATTTATAAGGATTTAAATATAAATGAAATTGAAAGAAAATTAGATAATCCATTTTTACTTGATCCGGATCATTTAGTTTATTTAATAAGTGAAGAATTAATTCTAAAAAAAAATGTTTTGATATTTTGTCCTACAAGAGATAAAACTGAAAAAGTTGCTTCATTTATAAGTAATGTATTACCTTACTATTTAAAAAATAAAAATTATCGTATAAATAAAAGATTACTAGATAAAAGAATACATTTAATAAATGAATTAAAAAAATTAAATGTAAAAATAGAAAATTTAGAAAAATTAATTTTGAATGGAATTTTTTTTCACCATTCTCAACTAGATAAAAATGAAAAAGAAATTATTGAAAATTCTTTTAAAAATAACATTCTTTTTTGTCTATGTTGTACTACGACTTTATCTGTGGGAGTTAATCTTAATGTTCATACAGTTATTATTAGAAGTCTAAGATTAGGTAATACATATTTAACAAAAGATCAAATTATTCAAATGGCTGGTAGATGTGGACGAACAAAAAAAGTATTAGAAAAAAAAAAAATTGATGTTGATAATTATATTGATAGTGAAATTTATGCAACAAATGATTTATGTAATAATAGAAATGATTTTTCTATTTATGATTATGATATAGGTTGTGATGGAAAAGTTTTGATTTTTTTAAATCATTGTGATAAGAATTATTTAGAAAAAATATTTAGTAATAATTTTGAAATGTGTAAACTGAAAACGAAATTACATAATTTTCAATTATGTAAATTTATATTAGAATTTATACATTTAGAATTAATTAAAACAAAAAAAGATATGTTTGATTTGCTTTTCTTTTATACACTTAAGTTTTTTAAAATTGAAAATAGTCTTGAAAAAGAGAAAATTATAAAAGAAATAAAACAAAATTTTCAATTCCTATTTGAAAATAAATTAATTATTATACCTTATGAAAAGGAACAGATTTATTACCATTACTTATTTTCTAAAATTTATAATTTAAATTTATATAAAATGAGTAACTTTTTTGATTTTCAATTCTTAAATGAATTCATCAATATTGATATATTAATGAAGTGTGACTTAAAAAAAAAAAAAGAACTTTTTAATAAATTGCTTGTAAATTATAAGTTTATAAATAATAAAAAAGATGAAAAATCTTTTTTTACACTTCCTTTTATAACAATTTTATTAATTTTTAAAGACACTCAATTTAACAAAAATTTATTTCAAAACTTATTCGTGCAATTAATTAAATATTTATTTATCATCAATATAAATGAAGAACAATATAATTTTTATGTTTATGACATTTTAAATGAAGAAGATAATATTTCTTGTACTGAATTATCTTCTTATTTTTATTCTATCTTTAATGTTTTTGATTTTATTTTCAATTATTCATTAATTCAATATACATATATAAAAGGTACAAATAATAAAAATAGTTTATCATTTTTTTTACAAGTATTTATTTATATCTAATTATATTATGCTTTATTATTATTATTATTTTATTTTTTTTTTTTTTAAAGGATTTCCTACAGACAGTTTATTAATGATATTTGTTTTTTGTATGAATTCAGAAGTATCATTAAAAATTCATTTTGATATATATGAAGAAATATTAAAATCAAATAATAATATATATAAAATTTTTCAATATTTTGGTTTACAAATTGATAAATTGCACAAGTTTAAATTAAAAAAAAGTGATGATCTTTACTCTACTTCATTAAGTATTTTAAAGGGGGAGTAAGAAAATAAAAAAAAAAAAAAATACAATAAAATAAATGAAAAAATATATTTCATCAAAAAAAAAAATATATATTTTTAATTCATTTTTTATTAGAATAGATATAGACAAATTATATGAAAATTTTGAATGGATAAAAATAAAAAGATTTTATTTTTCATTAATTGTTTATGATGTGTTTAAAGAAGATTTAAATACTGTCTCTTATAAGTATTAAAAAAGGACAAAAATAATAAAAAAAAAAATACCTAATTTTTATATATTTAAATAAGTTTTTTTTAATAAAGTTTCATTTTAATTTATTAATCATTAATAGCATTACTATTATTATTTTATTTTATTTGTTAGATATAGATTAAAAACTAATGAAGTAAAAAATTTATATATAAAAAGTTGTTATATTCTTTCTTTTAATTTTAAAATTTTGCGTAATTTTAGAAACTCCTTGTAAATAATTAAGAAATATAAAAAATGAATAGTTTTTAAAATTAAAAAAAAAATGAAGAGAAATAATTATAAAATTTCTATATTATCTTTTCTTTTTTTTTTTTTTTTTTTTTTCTCAGGGACATTTTTTGTATAGTTTTAGAAAATTTACTATCGAAAATGAAATCAAAAAATTTTCTTTTTAAATTTTAATATTTTCAGGTATTTTTTTTTTTGTTTTTCTTTTTTTTTTTTTTGTTTTTATGTATTTAAGTATAATTCAGATGTGTAACACATATAATTATTTACTTTTAGCTATATAAATTAATTAATTTTATTTTTTTAGTAATTTTAATTTTAAATTAATAATTATATTTCATTTATAAAAGTAATAATAAATTTTAAACAAGTTTTATGTATGAAAATATATATATATATGCTAAAAAATTCATTTGATGATTAATTATTTTATTTCATTTTATTTTTTTTTTTTTAATGATTTGTGAAAAAATATATGAAATCAAATCTATTTAAAATATTTGAACATTTATATATATAATCCAAGAAAACAAATTTTACAATTATACATAAAATTTTTTTTTTAAAAAATTAAAAATGAATGCGTATATTCAGAACAATTAAATCAATACTTAATTTTTTTTTTTTTTTTTTTTTATTGTAAAATTAAATATATTTAAACACTATTTTAAAAAAAAAAAAAATAAAAATATAAATATATATGTAATTTTTATTTTATAAAATGCTAATTTTAATTTTGTTTCATTTTTGGTGGTAAAATTTCTTATAGAAATGGTACAGATTTTTTCTTAACAACTTTTTATCTTGTTTTACAACATTTTTTTTTTTTTTTTGTTTTTTTAAAATTAAAAAAAGAGAAAAAAAAAATAGATAAATGTTCTAAAAATAATACTTACAGAAATGAGCAAATGGGGTCTTTTAAGAAGTAAAATAATATGGCCAAAAGAATTTGTTTATGTGATTGAAAATGAAGGTTATGAAAATAAATTTGGTTATAGTTATATTGTAAAATACAATGGAAATATAGTTCAGAAAAATTTAAAAAAAAATTTAAATCAAATAAAAAAATTATTAAATATTACTAATGATATAAGTCAAGATATAGAAAAAGAAAATGATCAGTATGATTCTGATGATTTGGAATACAATAAAGATGCAGCTTTAAGTGAAATAGAAAAAGCAAATCAAATAACATTAAGATTAAATGATAAGAAAGAATATATTGAAGATCAACTTTCAAAAGTAAAGACAATTAATGAAAAATTTGATATAATAATAAAAAATGAACCAATATATATGTTTCGTCTGGATTGTCCTTTTCTTAATGTTGAAAATAGTAGTTTAACCGAATATTTAAAAAAAGAATACATTAGAGAAAATTTAACAAAAAAAAAAAAAAAAAAAAGTATGCATGATAAGAAAAATGAAGAAAGAGAGTACAAAACATATTTATACAATATAAAAATAATAGAAAGTGAGGAAACTATAATTGAAAATAGAGAATTTATATATTGCGAATCGAATACTGAAAGTTTAAAAATAAATACCATTATTAATGAAGGAAGGAACATTCAAAATATATTATATGAATATAAAGAGTCTTGTAAAAATACCTGTGATAATGAAGAAGATAAAAGAGAAAATAAAAACGAAGAAGAAATTTGTTATGAGAAATTAAGTATTTTACCTTATAGTGATATTATTTTATTAAAAAAGAAACATTATAATAAAGAAATTAATATAGCTGGATTTTTAACTCCTTTTATTTTAAATGGTAACATTAAGAAAATCATTGAAAATATTAATCAGTATTTAATATATGCATTTGATAGCAATATAATTTATAAAAATTTGTCTAATATTGTAAGATTAATGGCCTATCTAGAAAGTAACAATATAATACATGGAAATATAAAACCTACTAATTTGTTCATTAGTAATGACGGTTATAATATATTAATAGGAACTTTTGTTCCCAAAATAAAATTATTAAACTTTTATTTTTATGTTATACAAAAAAAAAAAAAAATACCAAAATATATATCACCAGAACTCCTTTTTTACTTAAATAAAAAAATTAAGATTGTAAAAACAAACAAAAAGAAAATCAAGCATATAGAAAAATATTTTATAAAAAACGACATTTTTTGTTTAGGGTTATGCTTTTATTATATTTTAACAATGAAAGAAGATATAATCAATTACATTGATGCTGAGAAAATGTTTCAACTTAAAGTAGAAAGCCTTCAAAATTATATAACAAAACCTGAATTATTTTTTCTTCTAAAAAATATGTTAATTTATAATCATGAATATAGGCCTTCATGGTCTACTTTATTAAATTTTATTGATACAAAAAAAAATGAAGATGAAATTAAATAATAAAATATATATATATATATATATATAATTTAACGTTCTATTTTTTAAATAATATTTTTTTTTAAAAAAAAATAATTAAAAGAAATGTGAAAATATACATTTAATTCTTTCTTATTTTTATATTTCGTTTTTTTTAAAACATGAAATTCAAATTTAAAATAGCTTAAGTTATAATTAGTTTAATTATTATAAAATAATTTAATATATTAATACATATGTAATTTCAAACAATATATCTTTTAAAACAAATATATTATATATAATTTTATTTTTTTTTTCTTTTTTTTTTTTTTTTTTTTTTTTGGTTATTTAAAATT